CCTCCTGGCTGACCCCACCCCTGACTCAAAGGGGACCTCCCAGGGTCAGCCCCTCAGCTGCAGCAAGCCCCTCTGGGCCTGTTCCTGAGCCTTTATAGCCGGACCTGCTCTGGACCCCTCTCCTGGAAGCAGGGAGCAGAGCAGCTTCCTCCCCCACTTCCTGTGGTGTTAAACACCAGCGTTCCAAGGCAAGTGGGAGGTGACCCATAGCCTGAAGTGACTGGCTCTAATCCAGGCTTCCAGAGACTAAAGCAGAGAAGGGCAGGGGCTGAGGCTGCCCTAAGATTTCAAGCAAACAGGCTTTATCTTGCTGTGCATGCTTGCAGCTTAGAGCTCTTAATAACTGGATTGCCAACCTTTCTGCTGTGTTTCTTTTTCCCCTGCTGGGGTAATAAAATGGGTCAGCAGGTCTATTCTGTCTTCAGTGCTCCATAAGCCTGTGCTAACGTTGGCTCTGGATTTCCTGGCCCAGGGTGGGCAGGGCTAGCATGCCCAACCAGTGTTGTTGTTGTTTTTATCTTTATTGTTTAAAGTATTACAGATGTCTCCCCTCCTGCCCCCCGCCCACTGATCCCCTCCACCCTGCATCTGCCCCACCCCCAGGCCTTCCCCATACAACTGACTGTGTCCATGGGTTATGCATTTATGCATGCAAGTTCTTTGGTTAATCTCTCCCCACCCATTCCTCCATCCCCGCCTTCCCTCTGAGATCCCTCAGTCTGTTCCATGCTTCTGTCTCTGGATCTGTTTTGTTTTTCAGTTTATTTTATTATATTCCACATATGAGTGAGATCATGTGGTACTTGTCTTTCTCTGACTGGCTTATTTCACTTAGCACAATACTCTCCAGCTCCATCCATGCTGTGCCAAAGGGTAAGAGATCCTTTTTTACAGTTGCATAGTATTCCACGGTGTACAGCTTTTTATCCACTCATCTCCTGACAGGCACTTGGGCCGTTTCCAGATCTTAGCTATTGTAAAATTGCACTGCTATGAACATAGGGGTGCATAAATTCTTTCTGATTGGTGTTTCGAATTTCTTAGGATATATCCTTGGAAGTGGGATCACTGGGTCAAATGGCAGTTCCATATTTAATTTTTTGTGTAAACTCCACACTGTTTTCCAATAGTGGCTGCCCCACTCTGCATTCCCACCAGGAGTGTACCAGGGCTCCCTTTCTCCACACCCTCACCAGCACTTGTTTGTTGACTTGTTGATGGAGCCATTCTGAGAGGGTGTGATTATGGGACTGACCTGCCACACACCTATTTTGAGACCAGCTGATGGAATAAATCCACTGATGTTGAAACTACCCATGTCCCTCCTCAAACAGGTCAGAAATTCTTAGTTGCCACAAAATATAAAACCTGGGAAAGGAAAGAACGGGAGCTGTAGAAGCTAAAGATGATACAGCTGAATTCAGAATTTAGGAGTCTAAAGACACTGTAAGGAGGAAACATTTACTGAGTGTGTATAACAAGCCATGCACAGTGCTAAGTACTTTCACATAAATTATCACATTCTCTGAGAACGAGTCTCATCTGTGTCTTACAGATAAGGAAGGGAGAGATAAGAACAGTTAAGAACTAGCTTTGTACAAGGATCGGAGTCCACATTCTGGTCCCGCTACTTTACTAGAGTTACCCTAAGCAAGTTAACTAGCCTCTCTACGTTCTCATCTGTCACACAGGATGATATGACGATGCTGGCCCTGCTGGTTTAAATGGACATATGTGCTTAGTTAAGGGCTCTAGCGCTCAGGGTCTTGCTAATAGTGATAGTAGCTGTAACTTGCTGAAGGAGATAAAACAAACGCAAACCCAGGTTTTCTGACTCCCAAGTTCAGTACTCATGGGGAAAGAAGCCGAGTCACTTAAACACATTTTCTTTAGTTATGTCCATGACACAGGCTCTGCCCGAAGATCTGAAAGTCCAGTTAGGTGTAGGAGCCAGACTAATGAACAATCCGTTGTCCTATCAAGTGCTATTTGGAGAAGCACGTACAAGGTACAGACATGGCACAGCAGGGGAAGAACTCTTGAGGATAAGTTACTAGGAAAACAAGTTTATTAAGAGTGGCAATATTTTCTCCACAGTACCAGCAAAAGTGGAAAACAGAAGTGGCTGAAAATCATTTGAGAAGGTAATGACCAGTTGGGGGGGCTAAGCTTCTGGAGGAGTCTTTTCAGTGAGCTGGGAGGAGAGAGGGCCCTGTTTTACATGTTACACACACATGAGCACGCGTGCACACACACACACAGTGGCATTCCTCGGGGTGCACACACACACCTCAAACCGCATCTCCTAGCCCCACATCACACTCATGACTCCTTTGTCCTCTTGCTGTTTCCTTTGAAAGCTCCCATCCCCTAAAACACAGAGAGCATCACCTCTTTCTTTGTTCCCTGGTGATCCTCTCCCAAAGGACACACCAGGAACAATTTTCTGGTCATGTTTGGCAGCCAGTGGAAGCTGGCTGGCACTCAGCATATAGCCATTTCTACTATAATACCAAAAAAAAAAATCTCTAAAATTCTGCAAAATCACACTCCAGAAAGAACAGGGCTCCTGGGAAAAGGGGGGTGGGGCAGATCACCTAAAACCTAGAGAGTTTTGTAGCCAGGACACCAACCAAACCGGATCAAGCCCACTGACGCTGCTAGCGCAGTTAGGCCTCCACTGGCGCATGTGCTGGTCCCTTGCAGCCTTAAATCCTGGGGCTTCACTCTTCTTCCTGAGATGTAGGTTTTCTGAGATGCAGGTCCTAGCTGAGACTAGTTCCAGCAAACCTAAAATGTGATCCAGGATAGGCCTTCTTCAGTGGAAAAGCTAGTAGTGATCCTGGAAGCTCCTAAACCTGCCACTAGTTGCAAAAATGGAAGGCATGCCTATAAAACTTCCAGCTTTGTTCTTAAGGTATTCAGTCCTGTGCCTGATCACTTCAAAATATTAACGTTCTGCGGAAACCCTCATGGAAACTAACCTAATTCAGGGTTATCCTGACACCATGTCTCTATTTACTGGTTGTATACATGCTATTTCCTTTTAAAGAAACAACTTTGTAACAAACCATCTTATGAATGAACGGTCAGTAAGATTCTGATACCGATTCCAAGGTGCAGGTTTTCCCTCCAACGCTGAGCAATTCTCACACTAGCTAATGTCCTACAATTCAACTCAATTCTGACACTACCTACCTGGAGACAGCGTCAGAGCCCACAGGTTGAGGGCTCTGATCCACAAGACAGCCCTCCACTTCAGGTGCCAATCACAGGTTGTCACCTGCGCTTCTGACCCACTGGCTATAAATCTGGGAGAGTCCCAAGACCCCTCCTTGCGTTTGGTTAATTTGCTGGAGGAGCTCACAAACTCAGAGAAACATTTTACTTACTAGATCACCAGTTTATGATAAGAGGATTTAACTCAGGAACGGCCGGATGGGAGACGCACAGGGTAAAGTATGAGAAAAGGGAACACAGCTTTCCAAGCCCTCCCAGAATGCACAACTCTCCCCAAGTCCGTGTTCACCAACACAGCAGCTCTCCAAAATTGTCCTTTTCAGTTTTTAGGGAGGCTTCATTGTTATGGGCATAAATGATTAAAGCATTGGTCATCGGTAACTGAACTTAGTATCTAGCCCCTCTCCCCTCCCTGTAAGTCAAGGGATGGGTTGCAAGTTCCAACCCTCTAATCGTGTGGTTGGCTCCCCCGGTTACCAAGGGGATTTCCAAACGTCACCTCATTAACCTAAGGGACCAACTGCTCTCAACACTTGGGAAATTTCAAGGGTTTCGACGTTCTGTGTCAATGAGTGGGGACAAAGACCAAACATATTATAAATCAGGATAGGTCAGGAGAACAGCTACCACCTCACCCATGTGATTCCTTCCCTCATAGGCTAGAGGTCCCTGCAGCGAATATTCAGTATAGTTCACATACAGAATCCACTCCAAAATCCAGAAAGAGAAATGCTCTCCTGGTCCTAGGGCCGCCCTTACCTTTTCCTATGGCCCAGGCTTCACACCAAAAGTGCCAGAATGCCCACCAAACCGGTGAGCCTCGGCTAGAAACTTCTCTCCTCAGTAATGAGGGGAAAGAGCACCTGCAGGAGGTACGGAGGAAGGAGTGAGATCTGGACGAGCTACCTGTTTTGATCGCAGAAGGAAACTTCCCAGATCCTGCACAAGAGGCTGCACACGTGACCCAGATAAGGAAATCCCATATCACAAGCTTGTGGTATAGGCCTGTCCCTTGAACCCAGAAGAATGTCTGAGAGGAAACCAGGAAGTCTGATGGGAACCAGGACCACAGCCTTGCTACTGGAAGCAGTAATCTGGGCACACAAAGGCATCTCCGAGACCCTCCCTCTCCTCCACTCATTTAGCAAATATTCACTGAGTGCCTTCCCTGTGCCAGGTACTGGGGCCAGTGGTGACCAAGAAACACAAGGAGGGATCAAGTGCCTTGACCCAGAGGCAAGGGCTCAGCACTCTCCGCACCATCCATGCCGTGCAGCACAACTCTCAGTCAAGTCACACCCGGCTATGATTCCCCATCTGTAAAATGCAGAGAAGCAGCTGACACAAATACACAAATACACAAATACATTCGGTTTAAACATGAAATGCTTTAAAACAAAGAATAAAACGAGAGAAAGAAAGAGAAGAGAGAAGGAATTATTCCCTATGATGGATTCATACACTTTCACATACCAAGTAGAAAGGGAGGGGATAACAGAAGGGAAAATGGTTAATACACAAACACACACCTAGACCCCTCCCCCCACCATGGGCCTAGAAGCTTTCACAGGACGCAAGGCTTTTAGAAGTTGGATTCATTCCCTTCTGTTTCCTTCCTGGGCCCGGGAAGCCAGCTGGTTCACTAGACAGTAATGTAGTACTCAATCACCAGCTTGGAGGGGAGGAAAGGCGCCCTAGGAGCTGGCTCTCTTCAGAGGGAGGAACTGGTAACCCTCAAAGGACAAATCAGCCAAGGCCCACACAATGATAAACTCGTTTATTTCTCAGAACTCATTATGCTTCTTGATATTCCCTGCAAAGACGGGCAGCCACAAAGTGTCTTGAGGCTGCAGGTGCAGACCTGTCCAAGCATTGTCCACAGGCAGTCCAGTCCATCAGAAGTCCAGCAGAAACCTTCTAACCTGGGCCAGGTATTTCGGTTTCAAATAGTCCCCCAGCTCCTCCTTACTGACCCACACATGGCCCTTCTTCTGGGCCTGGGAAAAGTCTCCAGTTAGTAGCAGTGCCTTGAAGAAAAATATTTTGGCTCCAAGGCTACTTTCTGTCCGCATTGCCTGGGGGAACTTGAACTTGTAGTGGCCACAGGGTGCATTTCCCAGGAACTTGGCTTCCATGTTGTTTTCTGAGGGAGGGGAGAAACAGAAGTGCAAGATGAAGACACACCACCTGTTGATTCTGCTCCCACAATCTGTGAGAGTGCTTTCCGGCCACGGTGAAAGACATCCCTGAGAGCGAGGGCTGGGGTGATTCCTGAAGAGCCGATTCACTGGGCCCCTCCACGCGCCAAGCTACTGCTTTCAGACTGAAGTCAGCGATGCAGTTCAAATACCACCACCTGGGAATCACAGCACTGAGCTTCTAGACTCAGCCCTGTCACCACCTGTTGCTGAAGGACCAAGACACCTGGTGTCTACAAAGCAAAACTCATCAGCCTTTTAAAGGGAGTGTCTTACCAAAAGCATGAAAGGGACTCGATTTGACTTCTGTAGAGTGAAAACATCGTAACAAAAGTTAAAAGACAAAGATAGATTGATAACTTCTGCAATGTATAACAAAGGGATTAATAACCCCAACCCACTATTTCAAAGGATGAGGAAACGATGAATTACTGAAAGGTAGTGGTGAGCTAAACAAGGGAAAAAAAAGCTGGAACTCATCCCTCATATCAAAACTGATCTCATATAGATAAAAGATTTAACAGACACTGAAATTTTTCATTAAAAGTTTATTCATTTTTGATGGTGGTTTCATGGATATTTAATAATATTTTCTGAATATTCCCCTATTTTTAAATTTCTCATTAAAGAAAGAGAGACCATAAAAGTACTTTCTCCATCATTTTTGAGAGAGTAAGACCTAGCCAAAACACAAAATTCAAAAATTTTTTAAAAATACATTTACATAAAAATTAAACCTTTAGGGAAAAAAAACAAAGCATAGAAAAGTCAAAGACCAAATGACAAACTAGAAAAAAAATATTTCAACACATTCAACAGAGAAATGCCTTAAGGTATAAGAAGTTCTTAGAAATCAATGAGAAAAAAACAACAAATCTAAAAGAAAAATGAACCAAGCATATGAACAGGAAGTTCACATGAAAATCAGTATCAATGACTTACAAACTCATTAAAGTACGCTCAATCTTATTACTAAAGAAATACACATTAAAACAACAACATATTATTACTAAAGTTCAACAACTGAGCTGTACATTGCTCGTCAAGGCTAAGAAAAAAATGGGCGCTCCCCAACGGGTGTAAATTAGTGTAACTGCTCTATGTGGCAAGAGTTATGCATTTTATTTATACATACCCTTTGATCTAGCAACACTGTTTGCCCGTGGGAGCAAAGATGAGTGTACAAGGATGTTCACTGCAGCTTTATTTGTAAAAGCAACAGCCTGGTTAAACAAACAGTGGTACATATGTATTATGAAACAGCTGTCTTCGTGTGCTGATATAGATGATTAAGAGGAGAAAAAAGGTACGTAACTCTGTATAAATATGCTCCAAATGTGTGGATAAAAGAAAGAGATAAAATATGTGCTTGCCAATTCTAAAAATATACACAAAAAACTGTTAATAGTGGTTGCCTCCAAGAAGGGAAAATTACTTCTTACCCTACAATACATTCTACTAGACACTGTTTGATAAGTTTCTCACCATTTACAAGGAATTGACCTTCTCAATATTAAAAAAACAACAACACTACATACAACACAAAACCTCAACAGTGGGTATCTGTGAGTGGTGGGATTATATCTGTAGGTTTCTTTATACCTTTCTGAAATTTCCACTTAATTCAACAGATACACATTACTTTTCTATAATCTGGGAAAAGTGGATTAAAAATATAATCAAATCAAGAAAATAAAAAAGTTCATTACAAGCATGAGCAAAGAATCTGAACAGGTAGTTCATGGAAGAAATGCAAACAACCAATAAACATGGAAAGGGCAGTGACTCTCACTAGCAATTAGGAAAATGCTAATCCAAAAGCAATCATTTTTACTGACCAGATAGGCAAAAATTAAGAGACTATTTCATGTTGAGGAGGTCTAGGCAAACAGGCACTCCTTTATACCACTCCCCAAAATTTCAAATGTTAGGTACATTCTGCAGGACCACTGGGCAGTGCCTATCAAAAACCTTAATGTGTCTATCCTTGACCATTAGTCTCACCTCTAGGAATTCTACCTTGTAGAAATACATGGACAGTGTAGTGCCACTGGGGAGTAAAGGAATGGGCTCTGACTTTTTCCATAAATATGCTTTTATATAGCTTGAGCTTTTTTTGCCACTTTTAATAAATTTGCAATAAATCAACACATTTTATTTTATATGCACCTATTAAACATCAACATTTTTTTTACGCATTTCCTTTCACATTGACTTATTACAGTGGGAAGGTTAATGGAGAACAGTGCAGTGCCTAGGTGGACCCCCTTTCCATGTGGCACACAGGCGGCAGGGCTGAGCAAGCGTCAGTCATGAATACTTGACTTGAGAGAAACTGCAAACAGCAAAGGCCCCCACCCATTTCATTCTGTTGCGCTGCCTCTCCTGCAGCCCCACAGGCCCCTCAAGGGAAAGGGCCAAGGGGGCACACACTGGTTGCTGACGTTTGGTTAGCAGGTACTTAAGCTGGTGGCAGGGCCAGCAAAGTGCTTGTGCACTTACACTGTCAAATACACTCTCAAAAACACTCAGTAAGTACCTCCATGGAGCTAGGAACATGGAAAGGAACAGACACTGCACATACCTCCAAGGGAGTCATAATTCTGGCTGGGGAGGGAAATGTGTTAATAAACAATTGCAGGGCAATGGGTAAGTGAAAGAGCATATTCTCTACTAGAACATGAGCTCCCAGGGAGGCAGGAGTAATGTCCTATTCATCACTGTGACCCCACTGCCTGGACAGTGCCAGCAAATGGAAGGTGCTGAGTAAATGCTTGCTGCATAAACTGAGTAAGGACACACACCAGTGCTACAGGAGCCTGCAGGGAGGAGTAGCCCTCTCTGCCCAGAGGCCTGGAGAAGCTTCCATCACAGTATATCTAAGGAACGAGCTGATTCTTAAAAACTGAGCAGTAAGACCTGGGAGGAATAAACGCATCAATCAGGGACCAGCATGCCTCAAAGCAGGGGTGCATGAAAGACCACATTATTCAAGGAACGCAAAAGGTTTGTTAGGTTACAAGGCAGATAATACATTAATGAGGCAAGACGCAAGACTGATGAGCTCAGGATCAGGACAAAAAGGATTGGTAGGCCATGCCTAAATGTCTGAACTTTTATGGGAAACCTTGCAAGAATTCTAGGTAGAGGAGTGACAAGGGATTTGTGTTTTAGCAAGCTCCTTCTGGTACCATTGAAGGGTATGACACAAAAGGGGGAATTTATTTGGTATCTACTCCAATACTCCAGTGTAGCGGTTCTCAACCAGTGATTTCGCTCCCCAGGTATTATCTGGCAATGTCTCGACGTCTTTGGTTGTCACGAGGGGCCAGAGATGGGTTATTGCTGCTGGCATCTAGTGAGTACAGGCAAGAGATGCTGCTAAACATCCTACAATGCACAGAAGAGTGCCCACAAACAATTCTCTGGCCACAAATTATCAACCGTGCCAAGGCTGAGAAACCCTGGTGAGAAGGGGTCAGAACCAAAGCTGAGGAAACAGGAGAATATTTAGAGAAGACCAGGTAGGACTCAAGAATTTATGGACGTCGGAATGAGCTCCAGAATAAGTTAGAAGCTTCTAGGTGGGTGAATAGGTAAGTGGTGGTACCAAAAAGCAAGGATAAGACGAGAAGCAGGCTGAGAGAATGGTAGGAACATCAACTTTGAATGTACAGCTGACCTTTGAACAAGGTGAGGGGTTGGGGCACCGAGCCCCCACACAGTCCCAAATCCATGTATTACTTTTGACTCCTCTAAAACTTAACTACTAATAGCCTACTGTTGACAAGTAGCCTTACCGATAACATAACCAATTAACACATATTTCATATGTATGTGTACTATATACTGTACTTACAATAAAGCTAGAAAAAGTCATTAAGAAAATCATAACAAATACATGTACAGTACTGTATGTATTTATTGAAGAAAATCCACATGTACGTGGACCTGCACAGTTCAAACCCATGTTGTTCAAGAATCAACATACTAAATTAAAAAATCTCAGTGGGACAAAGATAGGCTCTCACCTGGTCTAAGGAAAATCCTTACCTTTAAATCCATCCTCACAGTCAGACCATAAATCCTCTGGCTGAGTCCAAAGTGCATCTCATGGGGTTTAGAGGGTGGCGGAGAACTCACCTGAGAGTGTGGCCAGGGTTCGCTCAGCTGTTGCTCTGAGGGTCTCCCCGGGCTGCCACTCTGCCTGGGGCAGCATCCACACCTCCTCGTCTCCAAGCTTCTCTTTGACCAGCAGGACAAGGTTCCTGTCTAGCTTCCGGTGCAGTGAGGTTCGGTCATTCTTTTTATCGGCTTCTGCGAAGAAAAGAGTGTCAGAGGAGAGAAGATAACTGTGATCTGCCAGAGCCGAGATTAGAGCTTTACAGTCTTCCTTTAAGGCAGCGCTATAATTCCTGCTCTCAAAAAAACTTACACAGTAGATTCCCTCTCCATCTGTGGTTTCACTTTCCACAGTTTCAGTTACCCCCAAATTAAATCATATATGGAAAATTCCAGAAATGAACTATTCACAGGTTTTAAACTGCGCACCATTATTTGGGAACCAGAATACTCCTCTTTCCCTTTCCTCTTGTTGGCTTGAAAGACCACCAACCTGTTATGCGAGCTCCAGGTTTGAACTGTAAGAATTTCTGCTCCCACATATCTTCCAAATCCTGTACCAGCAATATCTTCTGTTCATCTTCATCATCATAGAGGTCAGCTTTCTTCTTTGCCAGTTGCTGGGTTTCAGCAAAAGCACGGAGCTCATGGTCTGAATATCGGCTTCTTTCTATCTCGATCTGGGACAATGAACAGGACAAATAAGGCAGAATAACAGAGCTAGAGCACACCCGACAGACTCCTAAGTTCATCACCCGGCATAACCAGACGTACAATCAAACCACCACAGGGAGAAAACAAAGAAAAAGGTCACCTGCACTTTGGATTTGAGTTACATTTGCTAAAATGTGAGAATGGGAATGGAGGTCAACGTGGCTAATAACAGAGAACTGGGGCAGGCAGGGCAGGCCCACTTATGCTCCAGTCACGTCAGCCTTTGATGGGAATCTCACTCCCCACGGGCTTCCCTGCCCCACGAGTTTACAGATGCTGTTCTTCCTTCCTCGCTTTCCCTCCTGGGAGACTTCCTACTCCTCCTTCATATCTCAGTTTAAACATCACTTTCCTGGAGAGATATTCCTTGACACCTCTCATAAAATCAAAACTAGGTGTCCCTGTTAAACTCTCTTACAGAACTGTGTGTTTTCCTTTAGGGCCCTTAACAGACTCTGCAATTACACAGCCACGGGATTATCTGGTTACTGACTGGCCCTCCCCCACCAGACTGAAGCACGCTGAGCATTTCAGCACAAGGTCTGTACAAACCAAGTGCTCAATGATTATCTGTAGAGTGATTAGTGAAAACGCTTGCAGAGAAAATGCATACGCCAAGTAAAAAGCACTGAACTGAAGTCTACAGTTACAGCCCTCAGTAGGCAAGACGAAGGCATTTCAGATTCTGTAGAAACATACCATTCTTCAGTCACTACCTGGGGGACCTCAGGCCCGCCGGGTCACAACGCCCAGTTTCTGCCCGTTTCCTCACTCGCCTCACGCACAGTCCTGGGAGGCAAAGCGGGGCGACGACGCCGCCGCCCGACGCTCCCCCCTCACAGACTCCTCTCCACGCCCGCCCACTACCGGACAGAGACCGGGCCCGTCCGCTTTACCACCGCTTCCCTCCGGGGCTGGGAAAAAAGAAGTGTCTCCAAACAGCTGCCTTAGGTGACAGAAAGAAGGCCAAGGAAACAAACTACCTTTTACTGAGCGCCTACGACCCAGGAAGGTCGGCACCATTTTGCGGGGTTAAGTAGACCGAAGTTCTGAGAGGGGAAGCAACCTGTCCAAGACCACACAGACCGCCTGGGGTCAGGCACAGGTGCCTCTACTGGTTCCTCGCGGTGCCTGAACCCGCGACCGCACCTCAAATCTACCTGCTGTAGCAGCGCTGCCATCTCTTCCTGCAGCGGGGTCAGCGCCTTCGAGACGACCGGTGGCCGCTGCAGGCACAGCGCGCCCAGCAGGCGCCACGGAGACCCGCTGGTCGAGGGCGCGGCC